AGATGTATCCACTTGTATCCACAATCTCATTCTTTATGTCCCTACTCGAACCTCATGACCAAAGATAAGTGTAGGAGCTTTGGCTAGTAAATTGTATTCACTACAAGCCCAAGTACAGCATTCACATTGCTGGAGACTCAATCTTTCCCTCAATCTTGAACAAAACCCTGAGATAAATAACCTCTTCTACTTGGGGTAGGACCTTGTCTCCACCCAGAGGAGGTATTCTATTCTTCTCTCCCTCAAGACCATGGTCTCTGATTTCTTCATGCTGACCTCTTCAGACTGGAGATCAGAGTCTGATGAAGCTAACAGGACAACATCTTCCACAAAAAGCAGAGACCAAAAACTTACCTAAAACCTTGAGATCTCTTCTGTGGTGTTATATTGTGTCACACATTCCAACGCCCTTTTGATAACTGAATTAGCAAGTGAACATTTCTATATAATATAATAGAATAGAATAGAATAGAATAGAATAGAATAGAATAGAATAGAATAGAATAGAATGCTGCTGTTAGTAATGTGCTGTGGAGAATTTATGGGGTTTAAGAATAAATAAATAAAAAACAGCATTTTGAACAGCATGATCAGCTGGTCACTGGTTAAGCTGGTCAAGCTGAAAATCGGTCAATTCCAGTAACCTGCTGAGCAATCTGTGCATCCATTGTTCCTCCAAGAAACGAACACCAACATTATTTGGTGTTGGTGTTCCATGCGTTTAGGACAGGGTTATTTTGCTGTCTGGCTGGTGTACAAACAACTTTCTTATATTAATATTTCATATGTTTGTTCAATCATCTAGATGTCATGCAGTTTCCAAATGAGTGCGGTTAGGCTTTGTGACTAACCTTTCCGGATCAAAAAAATATATATATCCCTAAATCCAGAGAAGAATAGATTTGAATAGAGCCTTTAAATGGGATTGCTACTTATAGATGCGTCCGAAATCATTCTCCTGACCTCTACCAGCAATATTTTAGTCAAGCACAGTGCACATGGCTTTACTATTGAAGTGGTTATGACATGGATTTTATCCCAGGGGTAACACTTGTTTTGTTCTTAACTTTCTGTTGAGAACAAAAATAGAGAGAGTGTGAGACAGTGTGAAATGTTAACTAAAGTAAGTTTATTGCTGTCATGGTCCATGAAGGTTAAACAGAGGAAGAGTACGATGCCAGCATCAGTTAAAGCTATATATGGCATTATGTCACTGTAAGGAGGTGTGTGGTAGAAAATAGTTTGTCATCCATCAAAGTTCAGGTGAAGGGGTGTCCTTGTTATTGTTTGCCAACAGAAACTAGAAAATCTGGAGAGGCATCATGTGCTGAGGGAAAAACCCACAAGGTTTAATGTTGAACTATTTTTAAATATAACAATTTTAAAGGACTGAAAGCATATTTCTCAAGTGTATTTCTTGCTAAAGGCACTAATTAATATTTATAAGGATTGTCCATCCCCTTATCACTTAGCAATTATTTCAGGTAATAGTTTAAATAATCTACTGCGAAATGTCATACTTGTCCAAGTGAAAACTGTAAAATTACAAACATAACGCAACAGTATACAAACTGCATTTTGTAATGGTTGCTGTGACAATAGTATTTCAAATGTGCTACTCCGTCTGCTGAAAGAGACAAATTATCAGCTATATTTAAGGTAAGACATTCCATTGTATAACAGTGTCAATTATTAGTGTTAATAAAAAATGTCAAGTGACAAAACATGTATTTGTTTTGTCATGTTTGCCAGTACAGATCCAACCTCTTTGTTTCTAAATGTGCCCATAGAAAAATAGTTTGAAAGGCTAAACAGCGATGCCTCCAAGCCTTTATGTGACTCCACAGAACCAAAAGGAATGCACTGCACATTGGAAATGTAGGTTTCAGGCCTAAACAAAAAAAAAAAATTAGAGGCATAATGGTATTTTGCAAAAGCTAGAATTATGTAATTTTTGTTAGCAGGTCATTAAGTTCGGTCCATTTACCATTAAATCAATCATTTATTGCTTACCTATTTATGTACTCCATTATACAAATTTATTGCAGAAAATCAAAAATCATTATTGCTGTTTTTTCAATGACATTGTTAGAAGCTTTTCTTTAGATCCATTTTAGTAGAGGTGACATTCAGCAGGAGACCATATGAGAAAAGGGACCCCTGCTGCTTCGCCTTTAAGCATGACTATTGTTTCCCCATCTGTTAAGGTAAGGCTCAGCCCAAAACCCGTCCTGCTGAATTCGTCATTTTGGATTTCAGTTCCAAAAGCATCTCAACGTTCAATGATGCATAATTGTTTTAAGCCAGCAATAAAACATATGATGATTTTACTTTAGAAAATATTCTGCAATGATGAAGAAAGCACTTGCAAAGTGTTATTAGTAGTTTATATGTAGTTTACTTGAATGCTCAGTGTGAATACTTAGTGGGCAAAAATTGCCCTCAAAAAATAAATTTCTATTTTCTTTCATTACAATTCTTATAAAACTTCAGTCCAGTTATTTTTTTCTCCTTGCAAAGACAAAGACAAAACAGGATACTGACAATGTCTCTTTTTTTTCTGCAGAAAAATGAAACTTTGATATTTTTTTCTCTGTCATTAACCCTAATTTTTCACCAATTCTTTAAGAATTAAGAATCTAGACCTGAGCTGAAACCATTAGAAAACTTTTGCAAAGTGTTTAGTGTTCACAGCTCATATCTTTAACAAAGAAAACATTTTTAAGCCTTACCGTTATATCCTGTCACTTGTTAGATGTTAATATTTACAGTGGTTTGCATAAGTATTCACACCACTTAAACCTTTTGTGAATTTTATCACCCCACAACCAACAACTCCAATGTATTTTATTAGTATTTTATTAAATGACAGAGCAAAAGAAAATCACAAAGTAAAATTTGAAAATGTGTGATGTGCATTTATATTTAGCTCCTAAATAAAATCCAGTGCCTACATAAGTAGATTAATCAAGATTAGCACCATGTTATAGGTATGCTTTATTCAACATGGAGAGGTGCGTTAGACAGAGTTGAGGTACATGCTGGGGTGGAGGCTCATCTTCCCACAGAACAACCTCAAACATAAGTCCATTGTCACAGTGGAATGGTTTTAAAATGATTCAGACAACAATCTAAATCATCATTTTTAACAAGATCCAGAAATGACTGCTTACAGATGCTCTCCAAAAGCAGATGGCTCAACAAAGTAATTAAAAAACACAGACTACTTAATATACATACATGGTATACTTTTTGTATTTTTTATTTTTTTTGCAAAAAGAAACAAACCTGTCATTTTCCTTCACATGGACAATTATACACTAATTTGTGTTTTTATTTCACAATGGACCCCTTCCCAAAAATACTCAGAAATTTTTGCCCATGAATGACAAAATATGATAAAGTTTTGGAAAACACTGTGAAACACTGCATGTGATACTGAGTGGAAACAGGATCTGAGTAAAACCTGTATTAATATGTCTATTATTTTCTGTGTGTCCTATTATTCTTTCGGTTTTTATGTTTTTATGTTATCTGTATGTAAACTCTTTGACTTTTCTGTCACTTTGCTGCTTGTATACAGGATTTCCCCCCTGAGAGACAATAAAGGTTATTTCTATTCTACTTGTATTGTAGTCTATTTCTATAAATGTATCAATCTAAACTTTGTTTTGAAGCTGCCATTTAAGCCTGTTCTGTGTGAGGAGCAGTTAGAAGACTGACCAGATCTTTAGAATAAACGTGCCTGACAGTGAAGAGGCTCATATAAAAATAGATTTCCTGGAAGTCAGAGTCAACACATTGAGTTCTTCGATTGCAACGTTAAGGGTCTTGTTCTCAGCAAATAACCGTGGTGTATAGATTTCTAGTATTTTCTCCACCAGCTAGAATCAAATAAATGTTTGAAAGACCAATATATAATCAAAGCATTTTTTATTCTATATTTTATTAGATTTATTTAGAGAAATATTACCTGTATTTTGCCCCAGAAAAATGCCTTTTCTGTCATACAAGATGATTTTCTAGTAAAGGACAAACAGCTGCCCTGCCCTGGTAGCCATGTTCCTCTTCAACATGAAATACAGTGAGGCAACCATAACATGAGGCTAGATGTAGTCCACACCTGCTGGTCTAATTATCCTCACACTATATATGCAGCTGTATGTTGCACTATTTATTACCATGAGTTCACCTCACACTATACACTTGAAACGTTAAATATAATCGGCCCTCCAATAACAATTCATTTAAGTTTCTTTGTCTTTTTTTTCCCTACTCCATTAAAATCATATTCGGGTATTTCAAAATTGACAATGCATCACTACTTCCATTCATTTAGATGCAGAAACCCTTCCAACGCATTTCTGGCATGTTGAGGCAGAGCAAGCTCGTTATATTTAGTCAGACACCAAGTCGGCTGCTAATGAATGCTGCTGGCAGGGTGTCTGTGAGCCCCGAGGAGATTACAGGGAACACTGATAATGTGTGTCCTCTCTATAAATGAGGAAGACAGCAACCTAGACAGACAGATCTGCAGACTTTTCCATTTGGATTGTGTCTTTTCTCGCCATTGTAACATGATACATGCTGCTGTTTCCACATAGCTTCTAAAAACACTAATCTTATTCTCATTTGAATTCATGGTGGGAATGTCCATTATGTGGTCAAGGATTTAATGGTTTACCTTACATTTTCAAAAGTAAGGTCTCTATCTACCTTTCTTGTTTGCTAAAAATAATTCGTGTAACATAGTGGTAAGTGTAGCAAGTTTTTAATGTGCCTTTTCGATGGGCTTTGAAAACAAAACATTAAACTCAGTCACTCTTGTTGTAAATGACAAACCTTTTCACAATCCTTACATAATGAAAACTGGACTTAAAGGAAATTGTTTTAGGTAATGGTTGTTGGATAGTGCATGTTGAAAAGCTAACAGTTCTTAAACTGACCTTTAAACTTAGTGATTTCAGTTGTTTGACACAGATATTTTTGTTCTCTTTCAGGGTCTGACTTTCAGTGTACTACTCACATAATCCCAGTGAAGAATGAAGAAGGAGTGGTGATGATGTTTATTTTAAATTTTGACTATGTTGTGGATGAAGGAAGTGACCACTCCACCGAGAACATAAGCCCTGCATCCCCTACAAAGTCAGATCAAAGTGAGTATCAGATATACCAGGAGTTTATTACTGAACTTCTAAAAATAGTATCACATCTTTCCATTCGTTGATCGCCTTGTACTAGGTCTGAGTGTGCTTAACATTATTATCACTTTGTTCTAATTAGTTGCTCCATAACAAGATTTTCAGCCAGGGCTTTATTTTTTCTGAAATAAATCTTGGAATATTCCATGAGATCATATCTCTTCCAAAAGAAATGCACCCCCACTTCAAGTAAGGTCATCTTGTGGTAAACAAAATATACCTGTGGTGTGCATTTGCATCTTCAGAGCCACAAGGGATTATTTGGACCTTTCATGATGGCACTTAATGATTTTTTTCTTATATTGACAAGGAAAAAACTGTTTATTTTTTATATATAGACATAATAACAAATGCAGTTTTTCAGGTCTTTCTTCATGGGAGAGTTGTATTGAAATTCCCCCCAAAAAATAAAAACACTACCTATAATATTTTAGATTATTTTTTCCATTTAATAGGTCAGAAACGACTATATATGTTACATTATCATTTTATCATTTGAAAAAAAAAATTTATATATTATAGAAGAAAAAGTAGTCATTGTAGCCAATGTTTGTCTGCAAAAGTTGTCTGTTTTAATTTGTTTAAAGCTCATTAACGCTTGATTTTTTGGACTGTTCTTGGACTAAAAAGGGTCCTTGGATTCTAAAGTTTGGAGATTCCTGTTATAATCTCACAATATTGCAGGCATTACAATATATATAATGATGCATTTTCAAAAATGCAAATAACCTGTTTAAACTGCACCTGTCATTACATTTTAAATTCCAGGCAGCCATGTTAGATTTGTTGATTAAGATTGGTAAGAAACCTGCAACTCCCGCACTTTAAATTTCAGTTTAGGCAGGTCTTTCTGTTAATTTTTCAAACTAACATTTGGAAAACATAACTATTCCACCTTTGAACCAATAGTGCTACCTGATAAGAATGATTTGTTCTTTTATTTTAATGGCATAATACAAGAAACTGACTATGTGCTGAATTGTTTTAAAAAGTCTGCCAGTTTAGTGTGTACTGCCAGTTTAGTGTGTACTTACTGTGTTTGAATTTGTGATGAAAAGTTTGAGAACCATTGGCTTATTTTATGATTCAGCTAGCACAGTGTAGCTTACAAAGTTGCAGTAACAAGCCCCATGTGAACACAGGGATAGATGCTCTGCTTGTGTCTTTGTATTTTCTCTTTGGGTTTTTATCAGATGGTGCAAAAACAATGAAACATGCAGTTCAGCAATATTCTTCTCTCTATCTCTAGGGCTCTTTTATTTAGCTTGTGTTGTACCACGTTCATATGTGAATTTTATGCCTCTGCATGCAGCCATGCCCCTGTGTTTTATGCTAGCATTGTTAATCAGAGTTGATGGCTTGTGATGAGGTTTCAAGAAGAGAACCTGTGGGTACATGAGACAGATGAACATACGATGTGACTTTAAATTAGTGGAGTCAGAGAGAAAGAGTCTTCTCTACACACACACACACACCCACACACATGGACGCACGCAGACACTTACTATATGACCTTAACATTGTCTTTGACTTTGAATTTCTCTTACGCAACGGGAAGGAATTAAAGTTGATTTCAGGCTGCGCTCGAGACTTTCCCATTGAACCTGTGCGTGAACTATTTTTTGCACACTTTGAGTTTCTTTCTTTTGATTGTTATCAAATCAAACATGAAAACAATTAATTTAATACATTATTTTAGTTGCAGAAAACCTTAAAATACAATTCAAATTTTTGCATTTCAAGTTTGTATTTACTTTTTAATGTTTTTTTATGTTCAAAAGAGATATGTATTGCAGTACCACTTATATTTACACACTGATAAAAAAAAAATTATTGTATCAGTGCTTGCTGCATCAATTGCTTGCTGAAAATATCTTTTCTGACACTATTTTATAAGTTGAAAAACTTGATATCAGAGAATCAGTCTATGCAAGCTTCAGTATCTAAAATTACTCATGGTAAACTAATTTGCTTCTTCTAGCTATCACCAACCACTTTATGACAAACACTGTAAATGGAGTTGGAAAACTGGAGGTCTCCGCACCTCATCTTTTAATGTGCAGTCCCATTACAGCAAGGCAATATTGGAACCGCTCTTTTATGAGATAGAGATTAAACTGTAATTGCGGTTAGATGTGTCTCTAACATTGTCTTGGGCTCATATTTCTGAAAGAGCAAAACAACCACAAAATTGTTGTTCCTGCCTAATTGCTCCTGTTAATGTTTCATTGCAAATATTACCTATAGGACTTAGACACAAACGAGCATTCTGCATTTAACATTTTTTCTTGTTTCTCATGTAACATATTTTTTTAAAAACAATTTGGTGTTTGATTTTGTAATCCCCTGAAGCTCAAAACATAGTTAATGATAATCAGTTTTCATAAAGTAGAGATGTAGACACTTTCCACAGTCACTTTATTAGATGTACCTTGCTAGATGGGTTACATTCAACGTGCTCCTTTTAGTTTTCTGCCATAGTGCAATATCCTGATGGAAACAGCTGTCATGAAGAAGGGACATAAACAGATTGCTAAGCAACCTCTTCATGTTGCTTTATGTCAGCAACCATGTAAGGTATGTGATATCTAAAAATCCTAAGTCGGTACACCAAGTGGCTCAGTAGCAGAGCAGTTGCACCATAAACGCAGGCTGCAGACCTCAATTATGCATGTTCAATTCCTTCCCCCTGGCCAACTACTGTATGTCCTCCCTTCTTTTCTCTACTCTTCTTACTGTAAAACTACTAATAAATAAAGACTACTGGTAGCATTAGTGGCCTTGAAAAGGATACAATGCCAAGTTTGCATTTAAAGGTTAAACTTATGCCAGAAAATATCTACACACCATGACACCACCACTACCGGGCTATGAAGTGTAGATACAAGGCAGGATGAATCCATGCCTGTCCCAGGGTTCAATGTGTTGGGCAGAGATTGTTTTCCAAATTCTTTGTAAGGAGTGGTTACTTTATCTGTGTTTGCCTTTCTAATATCTGAAGCTACTTTGCCCATTCCCCTTTGGCTTCATACATTGAAAAGACATTTTTCTTCACATAGCTGCCACTAGACTTTTTCTCCATTCTCTCTAAATGAAGAAGATGGTTGTTTGTAAAAATCCTAATGAATCAGAAGTTTTAGAAACTCCAACCAGCCTCCTCTTTCTTCTCCATTCAGTTTTAACATTCAGTTTTGCTGATTTAGTATTTGGATTAGAAAGTGATCAAAGAAGTTTTTCTAATGAAGCGGCCGATGAGTGAATATGGCTCTAATTATAAGTATCTCAGATTCTAACAATTTTTATAGGATGCTGTACATACCACATTTATTTGCTAGTAGTCCTAACACTTCCATGAACTGGGCCATGCTAAAATGCTGTGGTTCAATGGGAGCAGAGGCCATCTTGCAATTAAAAAAATATGTATTTGATTTGAACTCCCTTCTGCCACATGTCCCCCTGGGCAAGGCACTTAATCTCAAGTGCCCTACTGATCAGCGGTATGAATGTCTGCATGTTTGTGAGTTTGGCTGGTTGAGTGTGGCTCTATGTAAAAGCACTTTAAAGATTCAATGTGACAAAAAAGGCAATGCAAGTCCAGTCCAGTTTTAGTAAAAATATATTAATGAAGTAAACTGTCCAATATGTGATTGAATACATATTATAAACTGCTGAAAATGTAAGAACAAAAATGGTTTGTCATAGGGAGCATCCACTATTAGTGGGTAGACAATATTATCCCATTTATATATTTATTAACTTACAACTTAAAGCTCTTTGAACATTGAGGGAATTGGTCTGAGCTAACCTCACTCTGGTGACATATACATTCATTTTGTTTGAGGGTTGACAGTAGCTTTAAATGGATGTTTTTTTGTGGTGAATGCATTTCAAGTTGAAGTCATACACACTTCATTTGTCGGGCGGACATACTATTGAACTTTAAATGTCAGTTCAGTGCAGAAAAATAATCAGTATATTGACTTTTTTTCTCTCTCATTTGATAGGAAGGAGCAGATTCTTTCGCTTCCGTCAGGTCGCCTTGAGCCTGATGAATACCAACAAGCAATCTCTTCCTCAAGAGGACCCAGACGCCGTGATGGTAGATTCTCCCAAAGAAGATGCGGTCTCGGTGGCCTTGGAGAGCTTTCCTTCACCCACAAAGAGCATTTGCAGTCCTACTGAGGCCAATGACACACGTGCCCTCATAAGTTCTAGCCACCACTCTTCCCAGGCTAGCGTCGGCCCTGAACCACTTGATCACTCATCCCTCAAAGTCCCGTGGGACAAGCTGTACCAGACAGAGCCTCACCAGTCCTCCACCTCCCTATCAAACACCTTCCCCAGAGGCAGCACCGGGAGCATGAGGAGAGCCTCATCCATCCATGAAATTGAGGGCTATAGCTCCAATTCAAAAAGTGTATTTAGGGACCGACATACAAGTGAAGGTACGATTTCTAATTAGAGACATAAGTAACTCAAGCTGTGAGGTATCCGAAGTGGAAAGATTGTATAACCTGTTTAGAAATTCAAACTAAATCAAATAAATGAACTGGCTTGGAGAGTTTTTGCAAAGAAGTTATCGACTCATTAAAATTTTAACTTAAAAGCAGTCAAATAATAAAGATAATTGGCACCTGGCTAATGGAAGTCAAGTTAATGTAAAATATATGAACATGAAAGATAGTCATTCAACTATATGTATTAGCAGTTAGGTTGTTGGGTTGGATTTAGCATTACAATAATTTGTTAGATTCAGTCAGCCCAAATTCTTGTTTAAATTTATAAAGCAAAACTTAGTAGTTTGGGTTAGATCCTTGTGGGTGGCCATGGAATAGAAAAACAAAACATTGTCCCGCCAGCAAAACAAAAATTAACGTTGGAATATAAGTCTGAAATATAATCAAAGTTACGTTTTACATAATGGATTTATGGTTTTTTTTTGTTTTGTTTTGTTTTCCAATGTACCTTTGCTTGTTCTTTTGTGTTTTTTTAGTGTTTGAGTTTGTCAGCGGCTTTATGCATTTTTTCTTCCTGCTGCTACTTCACGTATGATTTTACTTTTGATTTGTTTATATTGGCCTTTCACCAAACTTAAGTTTTTGCTCTACAAAATCTTCTCTTAAAAAGGGAAAGTACATCAACAGCTCTGTAAAAAGATTACACTGATTGAATTTAAATTAAAACTGCATTTCCTGCAGATACGTTTACCAATGTGCACCAAAGGCACATGTGATATCTTGATGTCTTGAAACAAACACAATGTGGAAACTGAAGAAAGGAGTTTGAGAAAAAAAGGCAAACAGGAGCTGATTTTTTTGTCTTTACACCAATGCATATTTTAAGAATCAGAAACACTCTGTTTCGAATAACTCAGTTGTGAACATAAGCTAATTATTATTATAGAAACATTTTTGAAAGCACTAAAAATGAAGGTCTGGACTGATCAGAATACTTAAATGTTTGGTTGAGAACTTCTGAAACTCCTGCTGGACTGTGTTTGTGTCAACATTTTTCCTCAATCCTTGAGATTTTGCTTTTAAGATGGTTGCATTAAAGTCTAATCAGCTACAAGTACCCTTTTTGTGAAAACACATACCTTATTTCCATTATTATGTTTTAGCTACGATAAGTGTTAAAACTAACACAGAAAGTGTTCAAATTTGCAAAAGTGTGGAAACTCAAAAAGAGCTGCTGGAGAACAATTGCTAAATGTTCATCTCGTGGGAGGTGTATTATTTTTCTTGTAGTAGATTTTCTTATGAAACTAAGTGGGACATAAAGTAAGAGGGTGTGCTCCACCTGATTAACTTTTCTTCTGAAAGTGGCATCTTTAAGGGAATATTTAAAATAATTAATTAATGTTATATATATATATATATATATATATATATATATATATATATATATATATATATATATATATATATATATATATATATATATATATATATATATATATATATATATCATTAGTATAAGCAAACTTCAATCTCTGATATGACAACTTAATACAAAAAATATGGAGGAAAATGTTTGTGATTTGAAGTTTCTTCAATTATAAATTAGTCCACATTAGAAAGGAGATCATTTTAGATTAGTAGTATGATTTTAATGTCCACAAAGATTTCGTTATGCTCTGTTAAAAAGATGAACTTGGAAAACTAGTAGTTTCTAATTGTTGGATTATTCATTAGGTTTTTTGAATGATTTTATTAAATAAAATTAGATTTTTCCTAAAGATGATGAATTTGCCACTAAGACAAGTGCTCTCTTCCCTGAATCACCAGGCCCGTTCAACCATGTGAAGTCCAGTCTGCTCGGCTCCACCTCTGATTCAAACATCAACAAGTACAGCACCATCAACAAGATCCCCCTGATTGCGCTTAACTTCACAGAGGGCACCGATAAGAAAGCCCATTCTCCTCCAACCTCTGAGAAAGCCATCATAGCACCAAAAGTCAAAGACAGAACTCACAACGTCACAGAAAAAGTTACACAGGTGAGATTAAAGATTTTATCTTCAAGGACAGGCTGAACTCCAGCCCATTATTCTCAAAGCTGATAAGTGCTCCATAAGAATAGACAGATCGGTTCTCACTCTAAGAGCTGCAAGAACAAAATGACCCCTTTCTGTTTTTGCAGTCTTGATTTGGGAAATCTTATACCTTATTCTCAATCTGTATTCTGGGTAGAACTTAATTTTTGTATTGTGTCTGAGAAGTATTAAAAGGGTCTGTTGTAATGGAATACTATGAATACTTCCTGTGAAATTTCAGGGACCTGCTCTTAGGTCCCTGAAACAAAAATAAGATAATAAAGACATAAAATATTAAATTGTTTCACTTGTTAAACATTCACAGATTTTTTATATCTCAAATCTGCTCACATAGCCATAAGGATATTTAACTACATACAAAGTGTGTGTGGTTCTGTCAGCTGAAGCAAGAACATGAGTAAATTATGATGGGCAATTATAACATGACACAAGTGGGGGATTATTTAGTCTAGTGACTGATTCATAAGCTGAACTTTAAACAGACATTTTGAAAAAAAATGCAGTTTGTTACTGCAAACAAGTAATTGCAACACATGATAATAGTAACTACACACATTTTCTTTGCTCTCTTCTTTCCTTTTTTTTACCCCCACAATGATCGCATCACTCTTCATAAGCTTTAACATTTTAACCATTGTGGGTACTGAACGTCTGGGTGGATACTTGGTGAAATTCCACCCAGCCAGACAAATATTGGCACGCATGCTTTAATGTATAATGACAGATTTGACATTGCACAATTTTGTAGTGACATGCTTAGAAATTCTATGTTTAAACTTCTTTCAACATACATGCACCCATCTTGGTTAAATACTTTCTTACACTTTGATGTGAGGTTTTGAGGCACTGCTTAATGATGGGCAGCATGGCTAAATTTATAATTCATGTGTATCTGCTGAGAAGAACAGACCAAAGAAAGACATCCAGGGTCCCATTATTGCTGATATGCTATTTTCTGCTTTTAGAGAATCCTATCTTTGTCTAACATTTGAAAATAAACTAAAAGGAAACCAGAGAACAACTCGTTCCCCTGAGCACCTATGACAAACTACAATCAACCCAGAGTTCATCCATCTTTAAAAAAATCAATCACGTTTTGCTCATTAAAGAGACTGCCTGACAATATTTCTTTTTTTCCTCAGTTAATCATGTGACCAGTGAACCAGTTGATTTATTGCTATCCTTTAGGTCCCAGAACTGTTAAAATTACTTTGTAAATTTGATTTAATTCACAAAGAAATCTTGACTAAGCTGTCAGAAACAATCAACCTGTCAGAATTTTACTAGAATGTAAATTCTATAATTCTTTAGTTCAATAGTAGTGAGAGGAGTCATGTTAAACTGTCTCTCTTTCCACTTCTCCAGGTCCTTTCTCTTGGAGCCGATGTACTTCCAGAATACAAACTGCAGGCGCCTCGCATTGATAAGTTCACCATCCTCCACTATAGCCCCTTTAAAGCAGTATGGGACTGGCTGATCCTGTTGCTGGTCATCTACACAGCAATCCTCACTCCTTACTCTGCTGCTTTCCTGCTCAATGACCAGGAGGAGCAGAGGAGACGTGAATGTGGCTACTCCTGCAGCCCTCTCAATGTAGTGGATTTGATGGTGGACATCATGTTCATTATTGACATACTCATAAACTTCAGGACCACCTATGTTAACCACAACGAGGAAGTGGTTAGCCATCCAGCTAAAATAGCGATCCACTACTTCAAAGGCTGGTTCCTCATCGATATGGTTGCAGCGATCCCCTTTGATCTTCTGATCTTTGGCTCAGGATCGGATGAGGTCTGTTGTTTTTAATGTGTAGTGTGTATTTTTGTACCCATTTAAAATGCCTTTGAGCTTTTCTCACATCATCCATGGGATGTTTGCTCTGTTATCTGGACTAGTTCCCAAGGGGAGCTCCTTAAAGCTGGAATTTTTCTTTGGGATATGGAAGGATTACTTCAAATTTGATGTTTTTCTTCCTTAGTGTATTTCTCTATGTCTCCTTTTTTTCTGAATGGCCCTCATTCTGGTATCCATTTACATGGATTAATGGCTTACCGAATCGCAATCAATGGTGCATTTATCTGAGGACCCGACCAGAAGAGTTATGTACACAGCTGCCCATGTTAGATGGTCATTGGCAGGCTGGCTGCCAGCTCTGTCGGCTTGTTTGTCTGGCAGGAGATTTCCCCTAAGGCTCTGGATCCACTTCAGGGCTTTATCGTGCTTTGTGGCCACTCCATTACACCAGAAAAGCTCCTGATTATAGACAATAATCATCTTTTCTATCACTGCTGATGCTAGTGCTGAGTCATTTCATTGGATCACAACAAATCAAAAAGGAAATGGGTTTCTAGTTTTTTGGGGGGCTTTTTCCTGTCACAAAAAGAAAAAAAATGTCTGGCTTCAGCAAATTCTCACTGTAATTGACACATTATGATGGCATCTCAGTTCACAGCTTCTATTTATAGCTTCTCAGCTTTAGTGTTTATACATTTTAGACTGATCATGAGAAATTCAACTCGGCTTCATTCTCACTCACAAAGGGGACACAAAGAAGGCAGATGGCTTTTATGAGACTCATTTAATTTAGAAGCTTAATAAGACAGCTGTAGCCTACAAATACTTATGGCAAACATCAATTTTAGGGTACGATGTGTAAAATGTGAGATTCAAGTTTCCTACCAAAAGGCTGATATAGTAAGAAATGCAGAGGTTTCATAGAAACCTCTGCATTATATATATATATATATATATATATATATATATATATATATATATATATATATATATATATAGATCATTTAATTACCTCTGATCAGCAGCTCAGTTCAATACAGTATCACACTATCCATGTAGTGTTCAGAAGTGCCGCTGACATGTTTGTTTTGTTCCTGGGTTCTTATGATGCTGGATATTTCAGTATTATGGCTCTTTATCCACGTCACCACATCTGAGGGTGTACTGACCCTAACTTTAATCAAATTAAGCATCACTCAACCATGACACTTTATACTGTCATTATGCATTTCATTCTTTGTCTACGTATAAGATGACGTAATTTACAGAAAAGTGCAGACTGACAGTAATTTGAATTGACAATGCTAACATACAGATTACTCTCATGTAAGTGCTGACAATCTTTCTTCATGTGGATTTTCTGCAGACAACCACTCTCATTGGCCTGCTAAAGACAGCGAGGCTCCTACGATTGGTGCGTGTCGCAAGAAAGCTGGACCGTTACTCTGAGTACGGCGCTGCTGTTCTGATGTTGCTCATGTGTATCTTTGCCCTAATTGCCCACTGGCTGGCCTGTATATGGTATGCTATCGGCAATGTGGAGAAGCCCTACCTAGAGCACAAGATTGGCTGGCTCGACAATTTGGCATTGTCCATAGGGAAGAGATACAACTACAGCGATCCTAACTCTGGTCCCTCCATCAAGGACAAGTATGTCACCGCCCTTTACTTCACTTTCAGCAGTCTCACAAGTGTGGGCTTTGGGAATGTTTCCCCCAATACCAACTCAGAGAAGATCTTTTCCATATGTGTCATGTTAATTGGTTGTAAGTATTGCTGCTTATCCATCTTTGTCTTTTCTCATTTACATTTAACCCTCTTAATTTTATTAGGCATAATCCTTGATTAATCCTTGATATTTCTATTCTTATAAATATTGTATATTTATAAGAATGTACAATATTCTTATAAATATTGTTTACATTATGATCTTCGTTTCAGTGCCTTTTTTGATCAGTGTTTTTATTTCAGCCCTCATGTATGCCAGTATTTTTGGAAACGTCTCTGCCATCATCCAGAGACTGTACTCTGGGACAGCCCGCTACCATGCTCAAATGTTACGGGTCAAGGAGTTTATCCGCTTTCACCAGATCCCAAACCCTCTCAGGCAGCGGCTAGAAGAGTACTTCCAGCACTCATGGACCTACACCAATGGCATTGACATGAACACGGTAAATAAAATAAATAAATAAATAAATAAATAAAAAGAATGACCAATTAACCGACCAAAAAATAAATAAATAAAAAGAAATACTTGCATTTATCCATCCTTGCATTGATGATTGTTTAGGATGCTAAAAAGAGCTTTCTTTCTTTCCTTTGCTCTACATCTGGACTGTCATCACTTCATTGGTAAGAGCAGGAGGTACATCCATTTGCTCCATTTGTTTTGTCAATTATCTATTTGAATATTCCTTAAAAAAAAAGACAATCATATTTCAAAGCTACCTTAAATTCGTCAAAGTGCGTTTCCCCATAAAATGTTTTTTTTTTCAAACTGCCAATTTGTATTTGTCCATCTACATTGTGATATATTGAAATATATTGTTTTATATTTCAAGTTGAAAACCTATTATTAAAATTGTTTGAACTGGATTGGTAAAATAAAATGATAATCATTTTGCTCACTAATTCCATAGATAATGGAATTATCATCTAATTCCAAAGATAATAGAATTAGTGAGCAACATGACACAATGAAAGGAGCAAATATAGACACATCAGTGCTTTTGGCTGCTTACAAAGTATTTAAACTGCACAAGCCAAAGAAATTAAAAACTACAACAGCTATGGTTTCTGAGGAGCTATTTATTATTTTAATACAGTTTGCAAAATGATGGGATTTTCTTGGTTTCACAAAATAAGTTATGATTTGCATTTACTGTTGGATTCTTTCTCAGTTGTTTTTTTTCCTGATGTATTGTACTATCTTCAAATATCAATACCATTTCCTTCCTTAGCGAAAGTGCAGTTAAGTTATGTATCTTGTAACTCAGGACAGCTTCCACTTTGTGGGCTATAGTCTTTTTAAAACATTCCTGTATGAAATATAAAATATTTTTGAGCATTTTTCTGACAGAGTTGTTTGTGTGTCACAGGTGTTGAAAGGTTTTCCTGAATGCCTGCAGGCAGATATTTGCCTCCACCTTAACAAAAATCTTCTAGAGAACTGTAAAGCTTTTCAAGGGGCAACCAAAGGGTGCTTGAGGGCCTTGGCCATGCGCTTCAGAACCACTCATGCTCCTCCTGGAGACACTCTGGTGCACAGCGGCGATGTTCTAACAGCTCTCTACTTTCTGTCCCGTGGCTCAATTGAGATACTAAAGGATGACATTGTGGTAGCAATTCTAGGTAAATATACATTTTAATTGACTATTTTTACTGCAGTTTTGCAAAATCCATTATAGCTCTTTTTGACTGGATGGATGGATGGATGGATGGATGGATGGATGGATGGATGGATGGATGGATGGATGGATGGATGGATGATGGATGGATGGATGGATGGATGGATGGATGGATGGATGGATGGATGGATGGATGGATGGATGGATGGATGGATGGATGGATGGATGGATGGATGGATGGATGGACTGCAATGCTGTGGACAGTGTAAACTGAGTTGCATAAAGATTGTGTTTGTCTGACCTTTTGCTAGAGAGTTGAATTATTTATTAATGCATTGACAGTCTCTATTAAACATTAAATCCTCGACTCATTTGCAATAAGTGATTATCTGCAAAATGTCAATATTACCTTCTGTATCAGAAAACACAGTGAAACCTCCAAACAGAAACTTTATTTGTTCGAACATGGAATTTGTAAGTTTCAATTTTACATGCAAAAGCTGTTTTCCCATGAATGCTCATGGAAATTAAACTATTGATCTCCTTAGGGATAAATAAAATATATTCCATTCTAATCTAATAAACTGTAACTGCCCAATAACACCTATCAAAAATGGGAAACACAATCAGAATAACAGTATTTTTTGTAATAACAAAAAGCTAGAAGTATTTCATTGAATAAATAACACAAAAGAGTAACTATAAAGACACTAAAACCACTTGTAGCACACATGATACAGACAATGGAGAAATGGTAGAGATGGTAAATATATATATTTTTTTGAAGGATTAACCACTTACATTAGGATATCAGGAAAATTATTAGGAGATTCTCCATTTTAGGGAATACAGATTTCTGTGGACTCACTTTCCAACACAACTCCCACACATTAAGCCAAGACTGTATCAAGTTCACGTCAGTGACTTTGCAATCTGTGCTAGCATTCACATCATTGTCACTGGGCTTGAATCTAATAAATTGTTTCCTGGCTGGAAATAATTTATAATATTGTGCATCACACTAACATTATATATTTATGTTGCATGGTACAACAGCTTTGTCTCATTTAGGCTGCAAAAAGTAGCATTACACTTCTCTCTTTGATGGCTCTGCAAGGGAGAGCCACCACACTGTCATCGGCTTCTTTGCTGATATTATGACAGCTGCAGGAAAAGCAGGAAAACCACAACAGGGTAGACAGCTCACATGCAGCAGCAACACGTGAAGCCGACTGATAACACAAAGCCAGGTTTGCTAGGGGATTGCAGCTTGGTGGCTTCGGAGGTTAACACATTTACCTCCTGAGCTGTTCTCTTCCCAACTGTTTAGTAGGAAGAGAAATTCTGGATATCTATGCAGAATTCTGATTTGTAAAAAAAATAATGATATTCAGATGTGTTCTTTAACGTTTTCACTGTATCCCCAAATGTCTTTATGCTTAAAACTGTTATTTGGCAACTACAAGTTGGCATGGAAACAATTGTCTTGATTGCTGTAAATATTCTAATAAATATTGTTCTATTACAAACAGCATTAATACAAAAAGATGATGTTTTTAACCAAGTGTAAATATAAACAGATCTTTTTATTGTTTTGTTGTTGTTGTTTTTTGGTTTTTTTATGCTACAACCACAAAGTATTACATGGTGATTTAATGGAACAGATCAAAAGAAGGTACCTAACTGTTTAGTGAAAAAAGATGATATCTGGTTTTCAAAAAAATATTTACAAATGATTGTTAGAAAAGTACATTAATTGTATTCAGCCCCTTGAGAGAACTAATAGTTGCACATTTCCCCAACTGACCTGTGGTTCTATGCAGATTCTTCAAAGTTACCATGGGCCTCTTAGCTGTTTTTCTGAATAATGCTTTCTCTGTCTTGGTCTGCAGTTGTGACAAAAGCTTTCCATTTTCAGATGACTTGTGTGAACAATGCTCTGAGACAAGGGGTTATTACATGAAAATATGAAAAAAGCTCTGATGAGGCACTATATACTGTGGTCAGTAGTGATTTTTTTCCTCTAATTTGGAGACATGGAATGCTATGGGGGTTTTTTTCCTCTATCCTCATTAAGTCTTTATACCTTATACTGGATACGCTCATAGTGCTCAGACACTTTTTTCTCCCCTAATGATGCTGTAAAGCTGGCTGCATTGGTGTGAAATTAGTCTGCTGCACTAACGATTACCTAATCCTTGTGTTGAGAGCTGCTTGTTGGCGAGAAATGTATCACTCTGTGTGCGGTTTGCCTCTGCAGTAGAAAGGTGTCTGGTGCGTGCTGTGAACGGAGCACTGGCAGCCAGCGTATCGTATCTCTTTTTCCTGAACCCCTGCTTACACAGTTGGCATTTAGTGAACCCCACACTGCAACAAAGGGATTTTTCATGATGGCCTTTAGACTAGATCTCTTGTCCTTTGCAGAAGTGGGTATCTATTTAAGTAGAAGGGATGTTTCTGTACCACCTATTGAAAAATAAGCCTATTGTACAGCAGATTCCACGATATTATGAGAGTTTGCTGAAGAACTGGCTTTGTTGGTGTCCAACTCAAATATTTCCTTTGAAGTGCACAATAAGAAATGTGTGTCAATCAACAGAAGCCCTCTCTTTTACCGCACATCAAAGTTGCTTTGTGTCAGTGCTTATTCCTCAGGATGAATAATGGATCAAAGATAGAAAGGCAGCTGATGCCCAGGCCTTGGGAGAGCATCTTCAGAGAGAGGAGACCCAGTTTGATTTTCATTAACCACAAAAAAGAAGCACCTCCTCTGCCCTTTGGAGATAAACAACAAACAGTTAGATGTCCCACTGGAAATCCAACACAAATTCTTCTGTGTAAGCACATTGGTAAAGAAGAGGTATTTCTCCTTTTGCTAATTTTATCTCTTGTGTACCCTTAACAGGAAAAAATGATATATTTGGAGAAATGATCCATCTTTACACCACACCTGGGAAGTCCAATGCAGATGTGCGTGCTCTATGTTATTGCGACCTGAGTACCATTCAGAGAGAAGACCTGCTGGAGGTGCTGGATATGTACCCAGAATTCTCGGACTATTTCTTCAACAACCTGGAGCTTACCTTCAACCTCAGAGACGATCCAGCAAAGGTTGAAATGCTTAAAGCCGTTTAAGAAAATGCACAGATTCACTCATACGTTTGTGTATGCTCCTTAAGTGTATCTGTTGCATTATTTTTGGGACCGTTAGTTTTACATTTGAGCCCTTCTTCTTTTCCTGTGGAACTACACAACAGACTGCAACAAATTACTGAAATGAGTTCTAAAATTGATGCTGAAATTGAACTTTATCCAGCGTTTTGACAGCTATGAAAAGACATTGTTATTTTTTTCTTCAGCTTTCTAAAATCAAACCGCACAATTCCTCTATAATACAACTCAGTTTTGTTTTTTTGTTTTTTTTTTTGTAAATCAAAAAAGTTGTGTTTTATCTTCAGTCTGACCCTCTAAAACAAATGCTTAAAAGCAATTAAAATATGTATGACATTTATCCAGTTATGAGCATACTTAAATTTCTGAACAGAATGGTGTTTTATGTTTTTAACTACTGAACATTTGTTTCTAATATTTTTTGCACAACTTGTGAATTATTAAAAATATTGACCATTTATTTTAGTTAATTCTATCTACTCTTTTTAGTCTGTTGGTGTCCAAGAGGGTGATCCAGATGCTGATGATAATAGAAGCATGAAAAGAAGAATCTCGTTCACCCCAGATATACCTACAGGTTAGTAAAGACTTGCAAAGGCATGCACAGCTATTAGAATGTGCTCTTTTTAAGAATCTGTGATCTATGTGGAACATACCCTGTTGTTTTCCCCACTGATTTCTTGATTAATTTCCCCCAGAGGAAAACAACGAAGCAGATAAGGATATTCAAAAAGAGAGAGGCTCTACCTCCTGCCTGAAAAGGGGCTCAGTGGCCCTGGGTTCTTCCTCACTCAGTGTTCCAGTCCTGGACTCTGACCTTATTGTGAGAGACGGCTTAGACAGAAGACCCTCTATAGAAGGTAGGATAACCTATTTATAACTGTAGTGCAGAAATAATTTTGTCTGCAAGCTATTTATGAGAATTTACTGGGTTCGAAGTAGATATAACCTTAAAGATGAATGTGGTGTGTGACTTTAAAAAATTACTTTGCCCTCCCAATTTTTTTGACAAATGTCTTGGCATTAATTAATTAAATTTTTTTTTTCTCCAGGAAGTCAGACTTTCTTGTGATCTTTTACAATTGTATTGATCGTTTGTTCCCTACGTTTTCTGAAGGTTCCCAAAGCTTTTCTTTGGAGCCACTAATTGCTTATCTGGCTTTTGCATCAGAACATGACAGCTGATTGTGCAGAATGTGCTTAAAAATTGAAGAAGCCGGGCAAATGGAGGACACAAAGGAAGAAGTACCAGGCTTGAAAAAACTATCAGCAGTGAAAAGTCTTAATTAGCAGAGAGGGGAAACTCTAACAAAGATCTGAAACAGGACTTGAGAGAGGAATCCTCCTTCACATGATGCTAATACCTATTTGGAAATCATTTATTATGTTAGAATAAAATTGTCAAATTCTGTTTAGTAGGGTTCATAAATTTAACTAAAAGATTTGACAATCAGCTCATCAGATATCAAAAAATTGAATTCAAATTAAAATGGTCCTTTGCAAAGCTGTCTGTAATGCTTGGACACAATGCTGGTTCATCTATTTGGATTAAAAAGAGCTTTTTTTACGAGTGACTGGTTCATCAGTCAGAATTAGGTGGATTAACACACACAAGAGAATAATTCTCTAACAATCGACTGGTACAAAGTTGAAAATCATTGATGAATGAGTAGAAGAACAAAACATTTAAAGGACCTTCAGAAAGATTGCAGTACTATCGACTAAAAAGATCATGAAAGGTTACAATAAGTTATTGCTTTTTGGAAGCGATGTGTAAAGAAATTCAAAATTATTTAAAACTTTGCACAGGACTGTAAATTGATTCCTCCACGTTATGTGGTCCAGGTTGCTACTTCCAGAAAAGAGACACGTTTGCCTTCAAAACTGCCTTAATTCTTTGTGGCCTACAGTCAACAGGCTGTCAGGTGGGTTTGTCAGCTAAAGTTAATTGGTGAATTTATCCTGAACACACACAAGAAACCAGAATGAAAACAGAAAACAGTAAGCTTAATTCTCACAAATAGTTGACTCTAACTCTTAGTAGGCAATGTTTCTGTTTTGTTATGCTTTGATACTATTTGGTAACATTTTCCAAAGCAGAGTGATGGATGCATTAAACAAACATTCTGCTTATGTTCAGGTTTAAATCAAGGACGTTTTTGTTGAGTTGACAAATTAGATCATTTGAAAGGGTTGAACTGAAAATATTAGGTAGAAATGTGTTTATTATTACACCCCTGCAAAAAAGTATGTATCATAATCTAAACTATGGACCCTAAAGACAACCGAGTCCAGTCTTCCTGAGGTTCCTTCTCAGAAAAAGTTATTCTCTCCTTTGAAGGCAGTGGGAGATCTGAGTGAAAAAAATCTGAAGACTGGTCTGTATTTAATCTGACCCGCTCATGCTTTGACAAACCCACCTGCAAAGAACACTCTTTCAGATATAATTGTTGAACTAGCCTGGACGTTGTTTAAACCCACAAAAGGGGGTACAGCACATATCACAGAACAGCCGGCAGGAAACTGCCGTGTGCCCAGCAGAGATAACAACAGGGCAAACATTTGTTGCAGTCCACCTGCAACAAAAGCTTGATAGATTACAAGGACAAACCTACACACGGCTCTGGAGCAAAGATTAATTACGTTCTATTTTGGTTTTCTTTTTGTGTGGTGAGAACGTTGTTCTGAGCCACATATGAAAAATGTAAAGCACATGTGTTGGTGTGGTTGTCCAGATCTGCGCTGTGATAAATGGGCCTGTAAGAAGCCTGAGGACTACCTGGATGAGTCAGCACAGATCCAGGACCTGAGAGAGGAAGATAATTCTGCCAGCGAAATCACATACGGCGAGGTGGAACAACGCTTAGGTCAGCTTCAGGAGCACTTAAACAGGTACAAATTTTGAGAGTCAGCAAAATGAAGGTCATTTCTGCCATACTCTATAAATTAACTGGAGTGGAAACTTCATTTGGTCATACAAACATAATGTGTTTTTTTATTTGTTGTTGTTTTTTAAACAAAGATATAGGTAGAAGTCTGTGTGGATTTTGTTTCTATTCAGTAATGAAGTGGAGGTTGCAGCTGTTCTCTTTGTTTGGACAGATATAGGACAGAAATCTCAGTATATCTATATTTATATGTGGTGAGACATAATAGCAAAGAGTGAGAATTAATCTAACTTGGAAAAAATAAGAACAAACCTAACATAGCTAAAAGTTGTTGAAGTGCATGCAAAATTTACAAAGTTAGATGCTAAAGTTTTATGTAAATAAAAACTAAACAAGTTACAAGTGTACCCTCTCGAAAACAGGTCAGCTTGTGCTGATGCTAATGTCTAGAGATTTCCCAATGATTAATGGTTTAGGTCAGGGTTAGAAAAACTTATTATTGCTCATTTAGCTTTACAGATTACACATAAACTTCACACATAGGACCTATGGTGATGAATTTTTAAGAACATTATAGCATATAAGCTGTGGTGAGGCCATTATTTGACTCCAAATAAGTGGATTGTCTGAATTCTTGTGACATAAATTAAAGTTGTGTATGTTTTGTACTTACATTTGGGTCGCTGCTGCTTCTAGAAACAGTCAAAAAAAAAAGTCATTCAGATACCGCTTACAGCATCCTTGCTGGATCCACTTTTTCTGCTTCTGGGTCTGACTCAGGGTCAAAGATCTATGACTGTTGTGCATCTGTTTGCAGCTATGTTCACATGCTTAAAGTGTGAGCATAAGCATTGATTTGGGTGGTGTGGCCAGCAACAGCTTATTTGCATAAAGTGACAAGACAGCCTATAACAGCTCATTCTGAACCGAGGAAGTGAAATCTTATCTGAGAATGATGTCTTGTAAAAGATGTAATTGATATGTTTTGAGTAGATTTATGGGCAATACAAAATTGAAGGAAGCATCATAATAAGTACCCATTAACGTTTTTTTAACCTTGTGTATGACAATGCATAAGCTGGAGGACAGTTCCAAAAATGCCCTAAATTTCAGACTGACATAACAAATTTGTGCTACTAAAGAAAAACCAAAAATAAATTTTTCGTAAATGTTTGCTTCATAAGGTAACAACACTGAAATTACAAACACAATTCTCACATGTGATCTTAAATTAGATTTGAGATAGCAGAGAAAAAAATTATGAAAAAAAAACAGCCACAACGGCTTGAAAGTTGAGCTGCATAGCTTCTGTTATTTAACTCTGATATTATATTTATGCAAACAAATCACTCTGAAAGATGCCAAATGAACAAAATTGAACTCAGACAAAACTGAACTTACCAACCTGACCACAATCTAATGGCACAAATAAATCTGACAAGGGGTAACTAAACAAGATGATTCATATCTCTAACAAAACTTGGACATGGACCCTAAATACAAACTGTTAACGACATACAAAAAGCTACTTCAACTAAATAATACACATTAATGCCTTTTTCGCATGAGCTAGCAGTGCAATCCAATGAGCCTCTTTTGCATTTAGCTGCTTTGAAACCTGGCCACCATTTTTGGTTTGGCCAAGGCTCCCAGGGACCTTGTAGATCACTGAACACCAAAAGAAAGACAAAGTAACCAAATGCATTAAAAGTGCGCACGTACAAACTGGACTAATTACCAAAATAAACATTCTTAATGTTTAAACTGGTGAAAATGGGCATAAATGCACATATTATGCTAAATGACAATTACTGACTTCTATGTTGTGTGGTCACCTTGAACATAAAGCTATTTAAGAAAAATATTCAGCTGACACTGGGGGAAGGAAGAAGGAGAAGCCATATTTATTCATCTGCCACTTCAAAGTTGTTTTTTCACTACTTTCCTTTAAGGATGACATAGTTCATAATATTTTTACATTGTCACCTCCCACACTGTTAAAAGGACAGAAAACGAGCATTGCATGTTCACGAGTAGGTGGAGGAAGACAACGAGCTGGCAGAATCTGTTGTAGGAATCAGAGTGGGAGGCTGGATCTACTGGAAGCAGGATATTATGCATCTCCACAAAACCACAGCATATTAAACTTGAGAATGAGTTGGAGCAAAGTCTGTGCTATTTTTAAGAGGTGTTAAATAGAACAGAGGAGAAAGAAAGTGATGACTAAGTCTGAAAGAAAAGTTTAAAATAAAATCAATGTTTTTTTGTTCTTTTTTTTCAGGCTGTTTTCTATAAACAGACATTTTATTCTCACCGTTTTGTGAATGAGGAGTAACGTCGTCCGTAGATACTGTAGCAAGCTTGCAGCCACCTGAACTGCATGAGTTATTTTTAGCTGGGATTGTAGCAGCGAATGTGAGAAGGTATCACAGGTCCTGAAAAGTGGGATAACTCATTTTACATTGCACAAATAAAACATCTCATCCCCTGCACTATACCTGACCTTATTTTCTCCCTAATGCACACTGGCTGCAGGATCAGCAGCACTTTTCTGATAAGTTGAGGTTTTTTTCTGGCTTAACATGTCTGAAAGCATATGGCAGAGGAAAGAAAAGGGGTGATGTAATATTTTCTGTGAAAGCTCCTTGAAAATACCCCCACCACCACTCTCTGCCCCTCAAAAATCAGTTTGTTACATAAAAGGGAATATGTTACCGCTTATGAAATTCATTGTACTTCAGATAAAATAATTGAGTGATATCTGGTCCTATTTAGATCGACTTAACAAATATAATAAACTAATCTGCACAATAAATGGTGAACTCACACCTCCCACACGAAACTCATTATCACTGCTTGCCAGAGCAGTATTGGTCTTCCAGCATGTGTTTCCACACCTTTACATTCTTTTCATCAGTCCACCAGAAAAGAGCACATAAGCTCCATCTACTGCTCAGTGACATGCACCGGGTGTTTTTAGCCCTCATTGAACTCACCCAGAATCATATATTTCAGCTCTTCTTGTTTTGATAATGCTTTGTGCCTTTTTCAGGTTGGAGTCGCACTTGATATCAGATATTCAAACCATCCTGCAGATGCTGCAGAGACAACCGACTCTAGGACCCCCCGCCTACAGCACTGTGACAGCCAGTCCAGAATATCAAAGATCCGCTGTGAAGGTTCAGCCTGTTGCTCTGTCTGCAAGCCATTTATTCAGCCATACAGACACTCAAGTATGAAGACTTTCTTTGTTCAGAAGTCTGAAATTTTGCTTAAGTATTTATGTTGTTTGAACGTCATCACATTAAGTCAAGTTGCAACCACAATCTTCTATGTTTGCGATGGAAGTTTTTTCTAATATATCAACAAGAAGCAAAAGATGAAATCCAAAAAGTTTGACACGGATTTGATATCAAATTTTTACTCTGATACAACGCTATGAAATCAATTAGTAGTACAGCTGTGTAGACAACTAACACAAGCTTTGCAAGTCACTTTATTAGTAAATAACATCTCTGTGTGTAAAGTAATTTCAAGATAAATCTTGCTTACTTCTAGGCCCCAGAGTTTTATTTGTCAATATTAGTATTAGCAACTTAGGTGGAGGAATCTGTCAACAGGACAACTATGCAATGACAAATTCAGCCTGTATGAAAGGGTGGCAAGAAAAAAAAAACAATTGTTGAAAGAAAGGCATTAGAGGTTTGTCTTAAAGTTAGTCACAAAGCTTTGTTGTTCAGAATTAAAACAAGTGGAAGAGTGTGCTCTAGTTGATAACAAAATAGATTTTCTTGTAGCCCAAGTACAAAATACAGCATTACAGAAAGAATGCTAAAAATTGGTGAGAAGATGAGTGCAGTTAAATGTAGGGCCATCCCCGAAGAAAATGTGCTAGAGGCTGCAAAAACGTCACCAATTTCTATCTGTAAAGTATTTAAAAACTGAATAATTTTTCTTTCACCTCACAAATATGAACTTTGATTTGTTCTGTCACAGGTTTCTGGTTGTACCATGACAAAATGTGAAGAAAACTGTATGAATTGTAAATGTGGAGTGCACGCTATGTTTGAGATGCTAAAACCTATTTTTAATGTCTTCATTTTTATTCTCAGGGCCCCAGCCAAAAACTGGAGAGCACCATTCAGGAATCCAAAGACTCCATTGTGAATGCACCCATAGAGGACAGCCTTACAGTATTTTTTCAACAAAGACATGCAGACATGCATCAGCAACAACAACAGATCCCAGCACATCAACAGCCAGCACTGATCCCTCTTCCATCTCAAACCTTATCTGCCTCCTGCTCTTCTGCACTGCCCTCTGCCCCTGACCACACCTCAGAAAGACACCTCAGACATGTCTCAGACTCTGAGGTTCCCAGGACATAAATTCTCAGCAGCACCGTATGATAATATTGGAATTATTATGCTGTAATTATTAAGTAGCACTCTTTTGTTTGTTTTATCAGCATGCTGGCACAGACATCTGCATCTTAAAGTGGCTATGTTAAAGAAAGGAGAATATATTTCATTGTGCATGTGGTGAAAATGTTTTTTGCCCTCTCTTTCTGTTCTTTTGGAAGAAGGAAACTAACAAGAGTTGCAGATTTTGGCACTTTTTAAAAAAGATTTTTAAATGTGAACTCATTTTATCCTAAAAATCCACATGAAGCCAGAAGTCTGTATAACTAAGATGAGACTGCTGTTATTAGACAACACTTTTTTTAATGGCATTAATAGTTGGTTGTATTAGAGCGAAGACAGTTCGCCTATGTAGAGTTTTGCTAGATTTTTCCTAATATTCCGCTTTACCTACTGAAAAACCTGGTTGGGTCACCAGTGTACCGGTCTTACCATTAACACATTTATTTACCAATACAGGGAAAACCATTGTGACAATCAGAGAGCAATGTGTCACTCCGTAACATTTCTAAACAAGAAAACATGACTGACCTACCTCACACAAACACTGGTCTCTCATAGAAACCAGCAACTTCTGCATTATTTCACCACATACAAGGTTTTTTTTTATTTACTCTGGTGTCAGTTGTTCCTAAATTTGACTCAAATCATTTTATATTTAAAAATTTGTTTTTTGAGGGATTGATAAACATCTTTTGCAAGATTTTAGAAAAAAAATAGGGTCGCTGATTGTTGAAGATATATATAATCTGGCAGATGGAGACAGTGATGGTGACAGGGAGTCACACAAACTCCCTAAATGCAGAGATTGGATCCAAAGAAAGACACAAGTAAGTCAAGCTGACAGGTGTTTGCTGCCAGGCTGCCACTTGTGTAAAAAGGAAGAGTACACTGGCGGCAGAAAGCTACCAATGTACTGGTAATCCACGGATACTCAGGATGTTGAAATGAGGATAGTTGGCATAAACTCAGCAAGATGAGACATTATGAGATTGGAAAACTGTGGGCTGGTCTAATGAGTCACAATTTCAGCAGGGATATTCAAGTGGTAGGGTCAGAATTTGGTGTAAAAATCAAAGTTTGAATTGATCTTGTCTTGCATCAACAGTTAAAGTTAGTGGTGGTGGTGTATTGGATATAATTTCTTGGTACCAAATGAACAAACAGCATAGGCATAGAGTATTACTGCTGACTATGCTCTTTATGAGCATAACATATCCCTCTGCTGACGACTTCTTCCAGGAGGACAAAGCTCAGTGTAACAATACCCAAATCATCTCAAACTGCTTTGAATATCACAATGAGTTATTCAACTCCAGTTTCCTCCACAGTCAACAACCCTCAATCTAAGAAAGCACCTTTGGGATGTGGTGGAACATGACATTTGTATCATAAATGTGCAGCTGACAAATCTGCAGTAACTGCATGATGCTGTCATGTCAATACGAACCAAAATTATGATTTTGGCATCGTGAATCTTTGCCACCAAAGGTGTACCTAATAAAATGGCCAGCATGTGATTTTTCTCATAACTCACCAGGATGCATCTACTGTATAACCTGCTGCCAAATTATGTAGCACTTTATCAATCATTGTTGATGGTTCAAGCAAAAAACAAGAACAAAAAATTAAGCTTTTGGTTAAGACTGATAATGCTGGTTGTTGACAGGCCGTCAATCTTTTCAAGTCTGGCAGGCGGCTGGTGAGCACAGATGTTTGTTCATGTTTGTTGACCCTCTGCAGCCTGAGACTTTGAAACTGAGGGTGTGAGCCAACGCAAGGCCTGGCACTGCTTTGTGTCCTCATTAGAACCTGAAGTGTGAGGAGGTGACTTTGTTACAGCGGGAGAAATGATGACGCAGCGGTTCTTTTTCCATTTTCTGAAATCTTTGCATAGTACCTGACACTAAGGGTCTGACAAGCCAGCGGGGAAAAGAGAAAAAAAAAAAAAAACGCATTCTGCAAATTTCCTCTCCTGGGACAGGGGATATAGCACGATACTGACTACATGGATACCCTTAACAGTCACTACAGAACCTGATCATTATACCCCATCTATAGTCTGAATCCTGTGTGGGTTACACAAACTATTTCCTAGAACTTTTAGAGCGATTCAGCATTACTACTGAGGTGTGTGAACAGTTTTCTCATCCTTAGCTGTATGCCTATATTCTTTGCAGTGTGACTCAGGGGCTATGGATAATTGCACTGCAACATACATCACAGTACACTATGTATTTAAATGATGTGCATTATTATTATTATTGCAATCGCTGATCTGCACCTACTGTACTATATTAACCAGAATGCACCGTGCATGCTTGTTTGAGCAAATATCATAACATGCAGATTTGAGGATTATCTGCTGTTATCCCTGCCTCGGACACGCAAGTACGATGCAGTGCATGTGTTGTAAACTCTATTTATATACTGTTTTGCACTGATTTCAAGCCCAAAGTAGCACAACATATAATGATGTCAGCATTCATGTGTTATTTTTTTATTTAAATTTTTTTTTTATGTATGTGAAGGTATGATGTGGTAGAAAAAGACTAAATTAAAGATGGGATTTCACTTAGTCATACAGTAGGATCTGTTCTAAAGAAGGCTTCAAACAGGGACTTGTGCCTATACAACCAGTCCAAATGATAAGTCAGCCATCTTTAATTGTAACAAAATCACATTCATGAATCCCATTGTATACCCATGTTATTTTGGATAATGTCCACCTTACTAAATATTATTGAACAGCTGTAAAATAAATAATATATTATTGTATGATGTAAATAGTATTTTTTACTCTATCATTTATTTATGAGATTCTGTAAAACTATAGATTATGCTTGTTTTGAAACTATGGAAGCAATAAATTAAAAAGTGTTGAAGTTGTGTCTTTCAGTTTTTATTTTAAATTATTAAATTTTCTCCATTTATTTGTGTTCACAGATAAACAACAACGGTATCAATTGTCAATTTTTCACCACACAGTAACAAACACATGTCACAGGACAGGTAATCCACAAGCAGTCATTTCTAAGATTGGTTGCCCAGTCCTTCTGTAAAGTCACTCCTCACCCAAACACAATGTAAGACGACATGGTTAGTCTTACATCCATGTAAGACTATATTTCCTTTCTTACTTCAAGGAAAAAGCTCTTTACACTGCACTGTTCTGAGATTGGATAGCCTTAAGCATTTATATAATCTAAATGCTTTAAACACACCAATTTCTTGGTCATTAATCTATATACGAGTACCTCTTTGCAGTTAATTGTAGAAAATAAATATTACCTCCAGTCATATTCCTTCTTATTTATTGAGACCCGCCGATATGTGTGATGTTGAAGTGTTTCGTAAAAGTGGTTTACATTACTGTTATCAAACAGTGACATCTAGTGGCCACTTTCAATGTTAGTTTTTTTTTGCAGGTGACGAAAACGAAAGTAAACCAAGTTTTGTTGTCCAGGGTAAAGAAGAGTGAAGAAGTGCAACGTCATAGCGGAAAGGCAGAGACTTTTAACTCGAGTCGGAGTCACTTGGATTATCGGACAGTCCAGTCACTGTCCGACATGGCTTCTGATAAAGATGAGCTATATGAACGCCGCATTGAATACTTAACACCGAGACTCAAGCAGCTTATAAAGGTAGACGAGGCGCTACCACACTTGCAATTAGAAGCTGGACTAAAGGAGCGGATCAGGCGTAAACTGAACACGGACGGCAATGAATCGGCTGCGGAATTGCTTATTAGCCTGGTTGCTGGGAGGCCGCATCCAGTCGGCTGGTTCAGGGCCTTCGTTGACGCGTTGAATCACGGAGGCAGCACTCACGCTGCTGACTACCTGGAGTTAAACCCACCAGACCCTGAAGTTGAGGCGGAGAATGACTACTTTGTCGAGTTAATTCGGTTATTTACTTCCAGTCTGCAGGACTTGAAAACAGAAGAAGTGTTGACTCTGTGCTTTGCCCAAGGTCTCCTAACTGCTGCGGACCAAGAGAAGGTAAGCAAACAATAAAAAGAACAATAAAAAAAATGAGAATCAGAAACGTCAAAATTCGCTGTTGGTTGGAAGTTAGAAAGAATAAAATTAATGTTATCGGTCCTTTGTTTTATATTGTATTGTTTTATCTTACATGCTAGAATTCAAAGCAATCTATAAACAAAATGACGTTTTTATTGTGGTTTTTAATGTGACCACAAGATGGCAGTATTGAATGCAAATGGAAGTTCACCACCTCTGGCTGGTGCGATTTCTCCTCCTACCTCCAGGTTGCAGAAAAGTCACACAAACCCTGTTTATTTTTGTTCAAAATCTAGATTTTGGCTGAAAGAGCAATCCACGGAAATAAACAAGGAGCGGGTGAACTTCTGCGCAGGATCGTAAAATGCCGACCAGGCTGGTTCTCTGAATTTCGGGAAATTCTGCGTCTCACTGAACACAAACACCTGTATGAGCTCATTGGAGGACCAAATGAGTGTGATAAACAGAGTAAGTGTCTCACCTTCCTCTGCTCCTGGAGGTCACAATTGTTGAAGGAAAGGTGATGAGGCAAAGTCTGGGCACCGATATTTCAGTGGGATTTAGGGAGCTTTGGGAGTGTTATGCATCTCAGTAATTACACGGATTGCAATATCCCTAATTCAGTTTCTTGAGTAATTTCCCATTAGCAAATATTTATTCTACTGAGTAATTTTACTAAAACTGTGATTTGGTTTCTGTCAACACAGAGTTCCTGTTTCTGAGCTTCATTTTGATAAAGTGTAAAGATGGAAACTACATTTAATTATTATTTTTTTGGATTTTCAGAAAATGTAGCAGCAACAGAGGAGACACCGGCAGAAAGCTGTCAGAGTGAGGAGCCCATGGAAATCAGCGGCACTGAGGAATCTCAGGATGATGCCACAGGTCTTACTTAGGAGAATATGTCTCCTCAATGTATAACGCAATTAATTTATATTTTATATGTATATATATTTATATAGATATATTTATATAGATATATTTATATACATTTTTGCAGGAGCTGTAGAAGTCACAAAATCAATCAACGTGATGTTAAGCTTCAAAGATTGTCCATCCTTGTCTTGCCTCACAATTGCAGTTAAACCCAGACTTTTATGTAAAGTGTATAAAGAGACATAAGAATTTTTTATCTGTTCCTTTAATTTAGACTAAACTTCTGCTTTCACTAGGATTACAAAAACTATTTCTTCAGAAATAGTTTTTGGTAATTTGTAGAATGGCCTTTTAAACTAGATTTTCTTTTTCTTCTGGAATAATGATTTGTTGCTATCTTTTTACTCCATATCAGAACTTGTTTCACACTCTTACCAGATTATGCGTGCATTTTCACAAAGTTTTTTGCTGATTTTTCTTGGTTTCCTTCACAGATTTTGGACATTCTTTATACTTCTTGTTACTCTGGTTGATTTTCTTGATCTCATGAAAAGAAGCAACATGTCTTAGATGTTGCTCTAAAATACATCCACATGTGTTCCTCCTATAGTTGAGCGGTGGTAACCATAGAAAGCCACAACATCTTGGTCTTTTCTCAATTTAAAAATGCATGTAAACTTTTCAAGAATATAGTCTGTTCTTTCAGTCAGTTCTTCCATTACCGTTTAGGAGAGGAGGTAATGCTGCTGCCATGAAAGGGCGGTTTGCTTTCATGGCCGCAAACAACCCCGAAAGAAAATTTTTTCCCCACATGGCTCATTTTCATTTCTTCAAGAAATTACAATCAAGACACTTTTGTTAGTTATGCTGTACTAACTTATTCTTCATTGGATGTTGTGCAAGTCCTTAGGTTTAAGCTACTTTATGTTTGATTTTGTGCAGAAATTAGCTGAAATCTGCTGCTTTTCATAAGTGTATTTTGAGTAAATGCTTTTTTTTCTTCTTTTTTTCAGACCTGTATTCAAGCACTGACCTGTCCAAATCCATGGATAATTTACATCCAGGTGGGATTCATTTACCCTCACCCACATTCTTATTGTTATAATTCTATAAACTCTTGTTAATCCCAGAATGTGTCCAGTGAAACCTAGACCACCAGGCCTAAATTAGCACAGGTATTTGTCAGAAAAATGTGTGTTTGATCTCTATTTCATATTCACTAGGCATAATGAGATTAACTGGAAGATTGTTGTGGAATATTTCAATCCCTTTTGGTGTGCGATAAATAAGTTCCATGTGTGAACTCTGAAGAACCACAGAGAGGTTGCAGAGGACGGAGCGCAGTGGTGCTTTAAATGAAAACCACATGGTGACTCAGTATTAGCAGATTGAAAAGGAATCTGTGGACTGCAGACTTTAGTTAACTTTCTATTCACACTTTGTCTTCTTCAGTTTTACAGGAGGGTGGAGTTAAGTTTGGTTGTAGTGTCCTGTATCTGTCATCACCCAAAAGGTGGTGAATACGCTGTACAAAACATCACTCTGATGATCTATTTGCATTCTGAAAGGCCTGTTTCTGGGATGTAGTAAGTTAAAGATATGTTGCCCTCATCCCAGGCCTGAATTTGAGTCTTTTCCTACACTTCAGTTACCATATCTTCATATCAACTCTAAATGACGTTTCATAATAAGCAGCCAACAGAAAAAAAATATACTTTTTTTTATTTGTTGATTTGCGTGAGTTAAAATTTACACCTAATCTTCCAAGAAATTATACTGTAATACTGTTAGTTTTCAGAGATTTTCTGTCCTCTGTAATAATTTGACTTCACCTCCTTTTTGGAGTAACATTTAAAATAGTTGACAGAATATATCTCAAATAATTGCAGTGTCTGGAACACATTTCCTATTGTTGTTGTTCAGACTATCTCTTCATCAGGACAGATTTGTGTTGACCCATAGGAAGCTAATTAAAAACTGCCTCCACCGACAATAAAACACAACTATTCTGTGCCTTGCAAAACAAGAGTGCGACGTCAAACATCAGTTTCTTTTAATGCATAGATTAATATAAAGGAGTACCTTATTGTAAAGTGAAATAAAAATAAGTATGCATATTGTTGTCTTCTTTTTTATTAGAACTAAAAATCTAAAAAGTGTGCATTTCTGTCCAGCCCCACTTAATCTGTTTTTTGAACAGCTACCTCCCACGCTAATCACAACTGAAAAATAGCTCATGCTAAGTCAGACTGAGTGGAGAGTGTCTGAGGATCAATTTTCATCACAGACTTCACAATTTTCTTGCCACAGATTCAGTTAGATTGAGCTGTGGACTTTGAATAGACCATCCTAAGATATTAATGTGCTTTGTTCAAAACATTTATTTATAGATCTATTCCTTTGGAGTCTTCCTGGGTTGCCTTGTTGCCACCTAATACTCTGACCAGTTTCCCCACAGCTTGATGTTACCATCACTTTGTTTCAAGCTGATGTGCAGTTTTAGCTTTTCACAGGACGTAATACTTTGCATGTTGTTCAGACAACTATATTTTGATCTTATCCTTTCATATCTTTCATATATTTGCTGTGACCTACATAAGGCTGGTGGCAAACCTCACATGGGACTCCTTGTAGCTTCTTTTCAGAATCAACTTTGTTCTTTGAAAAATGAGTCCATTGCTTTAAGTCACAGGTAGACTCTAATCACTGGGTTTAATGTTTATAATCTCTTTATGAAGCGTTTTGTACAATTTTATTGTTGAAAGGTGTTATATTATGGAGGAATTTAAAAGTGTCTAAACAAGCTTTCCTTGCTTAGTAGGCAACTTCTGAAGGTAATTTAACTGGAATTTATTCAAGGGTATCAAAGTAAACTAGTTTGAATTGCCTGCTTTGCCACACTTATTTTTTTATTGATCAGCATCTCAGCATATAATTTTTCTTCCACTCAGTAATTATTTATTGCTTTGTGTTAGGCTGTCATGCAA